AATGTACCTCTGATAATATATATCATATGAATGTCACCCATGTCACAGAGCACCTTTTCTAAAAATATTCACCATAGAAACCAGTCCAAAAATGTAAATTTTGACCATTTTCCATGACATATTGGACACAGTTTCTTGATAAATTTTCCAATGACCATTTGTCTTCTTATTTCCGGTATTCTTATTGAGAGTTTTGCTTATTTTTAATCAGACTTACTGTATTTTGTTGGTACTTTATCGCTTCCTATTCTGTAGTCCTCGTCTTTTCCATCTCGACTGACACGGATCTTTAATTTTAAATCACCATGACGTTCCTAAATAGATACAACATAACTATAACTCTGACTGACATGATGACAGAAACACAAAGGCAGTATACAGTCAGCTGGTATCATCATCAAATACTTAGACAACATATGTATTATTACTTTTGAGATCAAGTGACTAATTTTGCATGTTTTGAATAAAAATTTCAGGACAAAAATTATATCTTGTCTTTGTAACAACTTCAAACAAAATCTGTCAAAAAATATTTGAGAAATGGTTAAGGACACAAAAAAATAAAAACAATATTGCTGTCAGTTGAATATTTTGAGTCAGATCAAATCGCGAAACAAAAAACACTTTGTGTCGTGTTAAAGTTTGAATAAAATTTTCCATGGTTTTTATGGTTTTTTGAACAAAAATTGCATCCATATGCAATGCATTATGGGAGAGACCTACAAATTCTGCACTACTGAGCATGTATATAACTCCACATATATGCAATGCATTGTGGGAGATACATCTTGTCAGTTGAATTTTTCTGAAACAATTGATAAGAACTGCACATATCATTATGTGGTCATTATGATACATTTTTTTTAATAAAATAATGCTTTATCTCGATTCCTATGAAAACCCTAAAATAGTACGTTTTGTCAGGCAGTCAACAAAAATCATGTATTCAAGTCAAAAAATATTTCGAATACTTTGAAACAACAAATTTTGAAAAACTTTTCGTCCCTATTTATTTTATTGAATACCTGTAATTGATCTTAGTATGTCAGTGATTTGTTTGTTGTAATAAACTCAACTCAAGAACTATGACCTCAAAGGTCAGGGAAAGCACAGCCGGCATTTTGTCACATCATTTTGATTTAAATTAAAACAGAATAAATTCATGTTTTTGAGTATGATCACATTTTATTGATATCTATTTTGTCCCAGCTGACTCTGCGTCATAATGGATTCTGTTTGCCATACAACACAGTAACAAGTTTTCATTGTGAGAGGTCATATCATGTTTTGGTAATCCTCAGATGAGAGCATTTGTTAATTTGTCACGGTCTGGTGCATCATTGAAGGTAATTGAGAGTCCTGACTATCGCCAAATTCAAACATTTCTTCCTATGGTTGAGTAATAAATCAGAATATACACAATATCGTTTTTAATTTAATTGAAATTTTTCGGGGTTTTGTTTTAATTTTGTATGCACTATTATAACATAATTTTCACTAAAAATCAAAAAAATTCAAATGACATTTTTAGAATAAAAATAAAAAGCCACATTTGCTTATTGATTTTGGAAAACAAGTTTACCAAAATTGTTTTCTTTTTTTGGTGGGATTAACATAATTTAATTAAAAATAATTTGAATTCTAATTAATAAACCCTATTTCAACTCATTGACAAACTTGATGTACATGACAAATGTCCCAGGTTATATGTATATGGGAGGAGATATTGACAGATATTAATATTTCAGAAGTCAAGGGGTATGTACG